TATAAGTCAAATATTTTTTGAAGAAGTAAAAAAGCATCAAACTAAACAGGCATACCCATCTTTAAAAATGTAGAAATCGTGGTTGTGAATGAATGTGGCTGAGCAGGTCCTCTCTGTCCAGCCTACCTTTTTCTCTCTCTTTGACAGACATTAAAACAGAGATTGGGTTCCTATGTATGGCTTTCTGAGTCAACCTCCAAGTGTTTTGGGGGAGATTCACTTGCATCCCCCAGGCCTGGATCATAGTAATCACGAGTTAAAGGAAGAGATTTTGAGCAGTGAATGTAAGGAAGATGGGAATGAATGAAACACATCAAGGATCTTGGCAGGCTTCTCTGCACTGTTGCCTTTGCAGGGTGTTACCTCTCATCCCTGAGCGCTTAGTAGGTATGTGATAGATTCCAGCGTAGTCTGGAAAAGCCAACTTCATAATGAGGTCAAAGATGATCTGAATTCAGCTATTTAATCTTTGTCAAAGCCTTATTGCTGCATTTTTCTTTTCCTTAGAGCAAGCCATGAAAAGGCACAGTCTTACAAACACCTTACCATATGATGCTATGGTCTGGAATTTTCTAAAACATTTCCAGTTAAGAAATGTTGAAAGAATTATTACTCATAAAAAAAATCAATAGAAGTATATGGAACATTTTTTGAAAGATGACTAATGAGCAAAACCGAATCTTTACCTCTTAATAAGTAATATAAAATGTTAAAAATACACCATGCGTTACCTAATGCAGGATCCAGACATGCCTTATGTTGACATTTGGCATTATTTTGACTTAAAAGAAAATAACTAAGAAAAAATGTTAAGCTCTCTAAATGGCTCAAGCTGATGAACGAGTAATTTAAAAATGAGGCCAGGAAAAATAATGCCCCAGGAGGAAGACAAGAATGAAAGGAAATGATCTTTGATTTTTTTTCCTTTAAAATGAGGCCAGCAAGCCTAGCAAAAACCTTGGAGTGAGGCATATGGACAAGGCAGAAATATCACAGTGAAACCTTGCTGAGCTTCCTCCCGAGGACCCTGCCATTGTACCACTCGAACTTCCTCTGTCCACATATCTTCAATATTCTAGACTCATTTAATCAGAGTCTTTCATTTGACAGTTTTTTGAATACTGCCTACGGTAGAACCCTTTCATCTGAACCATTGGGGACTGACAGTCGGTCAGTTAATTAAAAGTCAAAGCAGGGAATTATCCAAAAGAATCTTTTTTAACTTAAATATTTTATTTTAATCTGACATATAGACACATAAATTCATTTACTCATCTTTGATATTGACCCATGGGGTGTTCATTGGCGTTCTGCGTAGCTTTCCTCATCTAAGCTATACCATAATGCATGGTATGCATTTCCATTATCAGGGCTTGTTTTAAATGGAGCAAGAACTCATATATACATGCAAAGTAATTTGAGTGCAGAAAAATATATTTTGTCCTCATTGTTCATATTCATGAACTTAAGGTCATTTTTTTCCTTATCAAGAAAAAAGTGAACTTAAGGCCCACAATGAACTTAAGATAATTTTTTCCTTTTCAAGATAAAAGACCTTGTATCAACTTTATCTGAAGCATACATTTTATTTCACAAGAACCACATCGACTTTTCTTGCCCCACTTTTATTCATTTAATAATCATAACAAATAAATTATAATTATTAGTAATTATAGATAAATGATATGAAAAGAAAAAGTTATAATTATTAATTAATGATAAGTAATGATAATAACTAAGGCATGCCATTGGCACAATTAGGTGCAGAGGGAACAAGTATACAGAAGTCCAGGAGGAGTTTGCAGTATGTGCTGGCGTGACTCATGCCAGAGAGAACTTGGACTATGGTTGTGACAGGTGTAAGGGACTGAGAATACCAAGGAGAATGAGATACTATTGTGGTTTAGTGCAAGAGCCAGTTAAACATTGTATGTTCAGAGACATACAGAGCAGTACAAGAGTAAAGCATATTAATTTTGTCTACTCAAAAAGCTTTCTCTGATTAACATAGTTCACACTAACCTCTTTCTTCTCATATATTGTTACTTCAAATATGCGCTGTATGAATGATGAGGAAGTGAATACACAAAGGAGTCATGCACTTCTGTTAGATTTATGCTTATTAGCAAACTGTACATTAGAATTGTCCATTGCAAACACTGGGTATTATTGAAATACTCTGCTTTGGTAGAGCCTTTTCTGTTAGGAATGGGTACGTGAATCACATCTAAAAGAGAAGAGTGAGGGAAAAGCCATCTAGTAGACCACTTTAATGTGGAACTGGGAGTGTTCTTAAAAATCTCTGACAGAGTGACTGCAAGTCTTTGATGTTTCCAACTATACTAAATTTCACTAGACTACACTTGGCTCCAGAATATCTGTTCTATCAATGGTATGCTTGAATTGATTTTCTTTTTGATGACATTTCTAGGCCATAATAATGACTAATCGGGGACGCAATCAATGGAATGTGCACAGCACATTTGATTCGGGAAGATTAGAGTAACTGCATAATGTAACCAGGGTACTTGTGACATTTAAAACATTTAATTGAATTAAACCTAAGGCAATTCCATCTACTGGTTACTCTTATGGCCCAAACACCTATACTGACAAGCTAAAAATAGATTTGATCATAAAGACTAGACATCATTGTTGAGAAGCAAATCGTGTTAATAGAAAATTTCTAAATCAGTAAGGTGAAAATATAACTTTTTTTTAGGTAGGATGCATTTGTTGGATAGCAAAATAGGTGAGAAAGAAACAAAATCTCCTTGGAATTTTTGTAATATTAGGACCTTATGTATTAAGCATTTCAATGTCTGTTATTCTTACAGTAAAGTTTTCTTTGGCAAAGGTTACCATGCAAGTTAAAGATCGCACAACAGTGTCTTCAATAAATGGGAAATAAGACAGAAATTCAAATATTATTTGAAAATATTAACACTTAGAAAAATAAGAGGAAATTACACCAGTTGCAGGGAAAAATAATCGTTCAACACAATACATGGTGGTTTTATTATGGAAGAAAAGAAAGATACGTGATAAAAACTTTCAGATCGTTCACTGTCCCCCTGGTTGTCCAAAGGAACCTCTGTCCTTGATAGGACAAAGGCCAGCAGTTGGTGATGAGCAATAACAAATGTCTGCACATGTATTTTTAGTGGCAAGCGTACACCTTAAAACATGAACAAATCATTGCTAAGGCTTCAGTTCAGTTGTTGTACCTTGGAACAATAATATATGGATGTGTTGGAAGCCAGAGAATTAAACTTCGCTATTTTTTTTTGGAGGCACATTTTAATTTTGTACTTAAAAATAATGACTTCCATTTTCACACACATTCCCTATTGCCAGTTGTAAAATGTCTGTTACCATGTTTTGATTGCTATGTGTTGTGAGAAAAATTCCCAGATGAGAAAAAGCTTCAGTAAGGCATTATTCCATAAGATGGAGAGTGCTGGACCTGGGTGTGCCAGGCTGGGAGCCAACATTATTAATAATTTTTATAGAGAAGATCCATTTTTCTCTGATATGTATATCTAAACAATTCCAAGAAGGGGTCTTTTATCTAAAGGTTTATTTAAATGCAAAAAAGGATTGGTTGAAAAGTGACTGCCCTTCTTTTTTGAAATAATAATAGATAACATTTATTGAGTGCTTAATGTGTACCAAGTTTTATAAATGTTACTTCTTTGACAGAGTGGCTACAAGTCTTTGATATTTCCAACTGTACTAGATAATCAATTTAGCTCTCTGAGATAGGTTTTGTTCTTATTTCTGTTAAAAATAAGTTCCAAAAAGGGTAAAATCATGGCTATCATATGGATATAAAAAAGAGCATATGTGAAAGGTTTTATCCTACTTATTAATCAGTGAGAAAACCAGGCAGATGTTCCAACTGATTCAGAAGAAATTCCCGAGAACAAACACATGTGTAGATCAGAGCTATTGAGGTGAATGTAAACATGGAGGCAAAACAATTATTCCACAGCAGAGTGAAGGAAGTTCATGGAACTTCTGTTTAACTGAACAGAATTTGCATGTTTACAGACGAAATCTATTTTGCATTGCTGTCAGTTATGTATGACTTACAGAGTTGTAAAATAGCTCCCTGGATGGACAGCCTCTAGATGTGCATAGCTTTCCACTTAAGCACGATTTTCTCCCACATCGCCATTTTGTAGATGGCGAAGCCGAAGTTCAGGGAGGACAGGTTTTTGCGCGGGTGATATTCATGAGTAGGGAGAGTCACTGTATGGAGGGAAGGAGGAGGAGGTAGCAGCGGGGTTATGGGAGTGGTGTGGGCTATGTGAACGAGCAAAGCCACTGAAAGGTGCTTGCTCCTCCAGGACCACGTGGAGAAATGAACAAAATGAGGAGGGCTGTGGAATGCTCCCTGTGACCCAGCTGACGTTTGGGCAGACAAGGTAAAGCACCCAAAGAAAAGGCCTGTTCCTACCCCGCGCAGATGCCTGGCAGTGGCACCCCACCCCCCCATCCAATCACATGACTTTCTAATAAAGAAAAAAAGCACAGACTATACCCGTGGTGCTTTAAGCCGTGCTCATTTTCTTCCCCTTAGTTTCTCCCAGTGTGGGAGGAGTCTGGGAGGGTCTGTGATGCCCACAGAGAGCCTGTAGGTGGGAGAGCCTCTGGGTGTGGTGCAGGCCACACTGCTCGCTCCTCTAACTCCAGTGCAAATCAAGATGATAGCAAACTGTGTAGTTGACACGATTGTCCTCACTGCCGGAGGGAAGCTGGGTGGAACAGAGATATGGCAGGGACTCATTTTCCTGGGGCTCTTAGTAGGTTGTCTCAGGCTGGAGCAAGTGCTTCGATGGCTCTCATTCCTGCTGCTCAGCAGAATCTAGGAGGGTTGAGCCAACTCAGAAGAGGTAGTAAGAATAAAATAGCATAAATGCCATACTGGTGGACACAAAACTAAGCAGTGACAAAGCCCACAGTCAGGCACCAGTTTGTCTAACTTCAGACCTTGTTCCTAACTTCCCCACCACCCACACCGCTAACCCTGTGCGGCTGCCAGAGGCCCGCAGGGACTTCTGACTGCTCTGGGGAATGAGGTGGGCGTCAGCCTCCGGTGTCTTTTTCACTGAGTCTTTGGTACTACGGACCATGACCCTGATTGGTGACTATGATTGGTGAGAGGCCATCGTCTGTGGGATCAGCACCAACCGTGATGGGTGATGGTCTCTGTTGTGTGCATTTATTAGGGGAGACGGAGTTTTCATACTCAACAGCAAAAGGACTTCATGTCAAACAAAGCAAAAGCAGATTTTTATGCCGTGAGGCCAGGAAGGGTCCAGAATGGCATCATCAGACACCATCCACAGTGTCTTGGGTCTTTCGCACCACTTCACTTTTAGCATCACTTGGGAAATGTACAGGGTCCAAAAACGGCATTGAGTTGGAAGTCTTGGATATTGTCCCAGACCTTGAACATCATTTGCTTTTCTGTGTCTCCATTTTTCTCATTAATAAAACAAGGATAATAGCATTTGCTCTATATAGCTTCTGTGCAAGTGTTTCCATGAGAGACTATCAGATGGAGAAAGTGTTTCACATACAAATGATGCTGTTGTCAGCCACAGGAATGTCTATAACCAAGCAGAGAGGCAGAGTAAAGCTAAGGTAATCTGAGTATTAGATAATTCAGAGTGATCCTGCAAAAAAAACCCTCCTGTCCAAGTGTGTTAGGATTCTTTCCATTGCAAGTGACCAAAACCCTAATTCAAATGGTTTCAAGCCAAAAAAGGGCTTTGTTTATTTATTTGGTTAGGATAGGATGGAGAAGCACAGGGGTGGAAGCAGTCTTTGGTTCTAAACCCACCTGGGCTGGGATTGGAGTCCCCCTCATTGATGCTATGGGGGTTGAAGCAGGGAAGAAGGATATCCACATGGTACTCTTGCCAGAAGAGCAAATGCTGGTAAGGCCAAAGTGGAGACATTCTGGGAGCATCTGTGACACAAATGAGCGTGTGTTGTCCTAGTTGATTAGCTGTGGCAGTCAACACTATAAAATAGGAAAAGTCCAGCAATTAAAATATCATTCTAATTTTGCTGTGGAGACATTAGAGAGATTGAGGTCTAGAAAAGAGGTCACTTCAAATTAGAGTAAAAGTTCCATCAGAAATATTTCTGGGGCTTATGGAATGACTAATCTGATTTAAAAATGTATTTGTCTAGTAAAATAATGGAGTCTATAAATAGTGATATAAATGTGTCATTTACTTTTCTATCCTTGATATTCTGAAATATGGAACTTAGGTTAAAAACAATATGGACTCAATTTATCCTTTGAGAGAGAGAGATTTTCATGATGCTGGCTGCTTTATTCATTCATTCAATAATTATTTATGGAGATCTATGTACAAGGCACTGTATATTCAGGGAAAAATAATTCAGCCCTGGTCTTGCTATATTTTAGTATGTGTTTTCCTGATTTAAAAAAATGATATGAATTACATAAAGAGTCAATTCACAGAGGATGAAATTTAGTTAGTATATGGAAAGTTGCTTAAACTCAATAGTAAATAGAGATACAAAAATTTAAATAAGATTCTCTTTTGGTTCATGAAATTGCCAAAAAACAAAAGCTCTTTGATAATATGAGGGGAGGCAATGGTGAAATGAATTATATAGTCAATGTAGAGGGAAATTTAGTTGAAATTTAAAATTTAAAATATACATAAGGACTCACATAAAAGAATGCTTATTGTGATATTGTTTGTAATAGAAGAAAAGCTATAAACAAGCTAAGATTCTATCAAAGGAAGAAAGATCAAAATGGTCAAATAGGCTATAGGAAATCCAGACCTAGGAATGTTACACAGCCGTAAAAAAGAATGAGGTATATATGCAAGCATATTGAGAGCAATAAAATACACTCACATTTAGTCTGTATAGATGATAGTGTATCTATATACAAATGTGTTTCTAAGTGCATAGAAAAAAGTATGAAGATATATATATCCAATCTAGAATAGAGTTTCCCCTTTGCCCCCAGAAGATGCAGGAATGCAATTGGCTGATGAAGTAGAGTGCAGGGGGCTTGCTGTTTATCAGCTTTGTTTGAAGAGCTTATAAGAATATTCTCCTCTACTACTTGTTTAATTAAGATCCAATTTGTTTTAAAATTGAGAAGACACGTACAGCTTTAAGTACAATTCATATGGAGTTTCTATAGCAACCAGTTTATTATTGACTATATAAAGGACTTTACACTTTGATGCAATTTTATTCCTTTCATAAATGTATTTAATTAAATATCATATAATTTTTATATCTGTCAGACCTATGTCACATAGGTTTGAAAAATCTGTTCTCTCCAATATAGTAGCCACAGATGACTATTCAAACTTAAATTTAAATTGATTAAAATGATATAGAATTAAATGCTTATTTTTCTCAGTTTCACTAGCCGTATTTTATGTGCTCTGAAGTGACATGTGATTAGGGGCTACTATATTGGACAACACAAATATAGAACATTTCCATCATTACAGAAAGTTCTATTGGATGGTGTTGGTCTGAACGATTTCATTTTTCAGGTTCTCTCCCTTCTTTTGAAACTGTGGGTTGCTTTGGAAAACATAAAATATATTAACTCTGACCAGTGAAATGGAAAAATCCATATATTTACATCTGACATCATTTAGCATTTCTAAAGTTAACCAGTGCTAAAGTAAATTTTTTTGCAAACTCTTGAAAAACTTAGAATTTGTAGATGCTCAGATTTCCAGTGTTGTTTGAGTCAAACCTTTCTTGAAAGTTGCCCCGGACTCCCGTAAGAGAGAAGAACTCTGTGGTGCTCCGTGTGAAGGATGAGGTGTAGTATTAGGGTTCACTTTGTGTCAGGATGGAGCTAGCCAACCTTTTGTACTTTATAAATATGGAAAGCACCAGCCCTCTGTGGGAAAGACTTGCCATCTTTGCTCTTGTAGTTAACACTAGGGAACATGCAAATTTTCAGTGATTTGATTCATGTGTAGTCTCCCACTGGAGCTTTGGGATTTGTTATTTTTTATTATTGTGCATTTTTCTAGGAGATTCTGTCTTTGCTGTGCTGTGTTGTAACTCTTGTGAGTGCTGAGTGCAAATTCCTGGGTTAATATGTTCAACTCCAAGAAGGTCTGCAGGTTAATGGGTGTAACCATGACTGATACAGTCATGTCAAGAAAGCAGTACCCACTGCAGGGAGGAAGAGATTTGATACAGAATAAGGGACAAACACAGCCGTTGCATGGGTGGGGAATGGGGAGGGGCATGGGTTAGGAAGGTTACTTTCAGGAAATTTCAGGAAAGCCACCACCAGAGGTCTTGGTTATCTTCAGCTCCTGGAAATTGCTGGCAAACACCGGAGCCACCTTATCCCCCGCCCCTGTCCACACACCTGCCAGGAACTGCTATTGGGGAGATAGGGCTCCTTCACTTACTCATTCCTCCAAATTTTGCATAACTGCCTGACAGTAACAGAATCGAGCTGGAGCCCCACTGGTTGGAAGTCTGGAAAATGTAATTTCCAAGCTTTCTGTTCCTGAGGGATAGGCCAGGGCTGCGGAGGCAGGGAAGACGCAGAGTGCCACAAACATCCAGGTGGCACCCTCCCACCTGACTGCACTGTGGGCGTGGAAGTGGGAGCCCAGCAGTCATTTCTTCTGGAAGGTGTATTTCTGTGATCTGTTCAGTGTTTGTGAAGGATAAAGATGAGAGTTTAGAGAATCAGAGAATTTTGAAGGCTCTTAAGGGTCGTGTAGTTCAGTTGGTTCCCAGACTTGCTGCCTGTTAGTGCCACTGAGAACTATTCTAAAAATCCAGATTGTTAAGGCTTCCTTCAGAACTACTGAAATGTAATCTTCACGGTGGGGGGTGGGGGTGGGGATCACCAGGAACCGATGGAGCTGATCAGGTACCAGTTTGCATACCAGCATTTGAAAGACTGGTTAACACATTTTTTTCTCCCATTTTCTGGAAGGCCATGCAAATTTGACTTAGCATGATGAGAACCTATCCTCTGCTACAGCTGTAATTTTGGGTTTTAGAATAGAAAAGTCAGATGTAGTATATAGTCATATTCTTGGGGCTCCCAAAGGCTGTAAGTCCTGAGGTCAAATCATTAACCTGAACATGGTCCCTGAGACAATGAAGACACCCCCAGAAATGAAATGTTGATTTCAAGTGTTGACCCGAAGTGTTGGTCAAGTTTCATTTTGCTGGGAGAAGAAAAGGAGATCAAGTATTTTGAAACTGCTTATACCAGTAGTAACTATATGTTTTCTCCATTGTTAAAAGGCTGACTATAAATAAGTACTGTCGCGGTCATTGCAAATAAAAGACACGCGAAGCATGTACTGGGCTGATTACACTATCTTTTATTATTAGAATATGTATTACGCTAAGGCCAATTCTAAAACATAACTTGGGTCTGTAGAGGGTGACAAGGAAGTTAGGAGCAAGCAGGTGTTGGTTGCACAGTATGGTAGGCACAGTAAAAATCCTTTTGTTTGTGTGATTAATTGGATGTTCCCTGGGAGCATGCAATATGAACTGATTTCTAATTTTTGTAAGATTCTGGGTAATTTTTAGGGTGGCTGGAATATACGATTTGCTGTATTTCTCATAACTAAGGGGTAAGGGAGAGTGGTTGGTAAAGAAAACAAGGGATTGGTTCTGCCATATACTGTTTCAGAGCTTAAATAAATTTGCAGAGCAAATGTGTGCAGGTTGGGATATCTTGCACCCTCATCTTGGGCCACAGGTTTTAAAAGTGAATTTTTGCCAGAAGAATGAAACCCTGTAAAAGTCATTCAGCCGGGTAAATTCTGAAGTCAGAAGTGCTGGAGCAATAAACTTGATAAATGATGCTATTTACAATTGGTGAAATTTCCTTTTTTGAATCTGTATTAAGAATGGAAAATCTGTGAACTTTAAACATACTTAAAATTGGCTGGCTTTGTAGCGTGGGATTTGAGCCACTGGAGTTTGAGGGTTTAAAAAATGCTCATTTCCTTCAGTGTCAAATAAAAGAATATTCTAGACAGTGATGTAAACATGCGTACATGAAGTGAAAGAGTTTGAACTCTTTACATAAGCAAAAAATTGTGGACATGAGCTAACACTGGAGCTACATGGAACATGGGGCTGTCTTGCCAATGGGGTTCAGCCCTGGGCAAGTTTGCTATGGATTCAATGTGACCAAAGAAAATGACAGCAAATGTTCTTTGGGGTGAAAGGGTTTATTACCCAGCTTGTTCTCCCGGCAGGAGGTTGAACACTAACGTCCCTACCTCCGCCTGGAGCACTGGGCCGAACTCTCTATATAGCACAATAATAGCATATTGCCTAAAGGTGTGGAAGCGGTAGCCTAGCAACAGGTCAGTTACATCATCAGGTTGTTTCAGTTCAGTGAGGATCCTGGCCATAGAAACCCCAACTTCCCCACAGGGGGAAGCAAACTGAAGATTAATCAAACTGGCAAAATTGTCTGATTTCAGATTTAGATTTCCATATCTACCATGTATCAAAGTTTGATTTTTAGGAATACTGCCTGCTAGAGGCATGGAAGAGAAAAATTTTGGCTAAGTGGCCAGAGAAAACAATTGGATTAACTGAGACAGTCTTCACAACTATAGTTGTAAAAATGCAACGTGACTTTTTAAAATAGGTGAAGGGGAAAAAATTAGTAAGAATGTTTGGTGTCTTGATCCGGGTGGTGGTTACATGAGTATTGTGGGGAAAATTGAAGCTCCTGTGGCCGGGATCCTCACCTGAACCTAAACCACTTGATGATGTAACTGGCCTGCTGCTGGGCTAATGTTTCCACACCCATAGGCAATAAGCTTTTATTGACTGAGTCTCTATACAAAGAGCTCTACTCAGTGCTCCAGGTGGAGGCAGAGAGAAGGAGGATTATAGACCCACAAACTGTTGGATGCAGACATAATTCTATTGCTTTGTTGCTGGGAGAACAAACTGGTAATAAACCCTTTCACCCTAAGAATGTTCCATTGTCAT